CAAACTTTGGGCAGAGTGCAGGAAACCTTATGGAAGAAGAGGAAGATAGAAAGACCTGGAGGAAACAGGAGCTCCACAAGGAGACCAACAGAGACCAATACTCCAACCAAGGACCATGCATGGAGAGGACCTAGAACCCCTACTTAATTTCCAAGTGGCTTCCTAGTAAGGGGGGCAGGGACTGTCTCTGACATGAACTCAGTGACCAGCTCTTTGATCACCTTGCAGCCTTGCAAGGCCACAGAGGAAGACGATGCAGCCAGCCCTGATGAGACTTGACAGGCTACGGTCAGATAGAAGGGGAGTAGGTGTTCCTCTATCAGTGGGCATAGAGGTAGGGGCATAGAGAGAGAAGAGGGAGAGTGGGTAGGGAAAAAGATGGAGGTGGCTATAGCTGGGATACAAAATGATTAAATCGAAATAAATAAATAGTTTTAAAGAAAAAAAATGAAATATGAAATAGAATGAATCCATACTCTGGCACTTATATCCTAGACAATTTCCTACTTGGAATCAATTGCAGATTTTAAAAAAAATTAATTTCAAATTATTATACCATCTCTTTTCAAATTTATTCAAATGCCTGAGGTTTCAAATATCAGAATAACTTTAAATTAGTAAGCTAATGATTCTGATTCCAGTCAGGCAATTTTTTCAGTTCTATAGTCCAATTTTCAACATTTCAATATATATTACATATATATATATGCGCGCACACACATACACACATATGTACATATATGTGTATGACATTTACAAAGTTCAAATAAAATCCACTCAAAATGAAGAATCACCAACTATTGTGCCATCTCCTAAGGCATCAGCATCATTAATGAGTCATGGCAAGTCTTACTCTGCACACTGTAAAAAGCACTCAGTTTTTGAGGATGTAGGCAAGACATGATTGTCCTTGAAAACAATCAGTACTGTAAAAGAACTGCTTCTCTTTAAGATGATCACTATGCTTACAGTTGCCATACTACCAAAACAAAATACTTACACAAATGTCTTCAAGCTCAAATCTAAATCAAAGCTTTATTTAAAAAATTCGATTTATAATTGAAACAAATAAAAGGACAAAATAGTAACAACAAACAAAAACATCAAATGCAGCCTCTAAAAAACTACATTTTAACCTACCACACTGAAGAAATGAAATGAAAACCTGAAAGCTAGCTCTTAGATATAGCCCAGTCAGGATGCAGGCCTGTGAGGACCACTACAGCTACACAAAAGTACCCTTGGTCTCCATTTTCCCAAAAAGGAATGCTACAAAATTCACTGTAGTTATTTCAAATATGCAGAGATGTTTGGCTTCAATTGCTACCCTGCCTGTTACATATTTTCAAATCTTTATCAAGGGTATAACGGCATTATTATTCTAGACTACACAATGTAGATTTCTGCAATAAGTAAACAGTACATTCTACTAACATTGAAGCTTTGCATATGCAGTTATTCAAAGCTCTTCTGGTAGGCTTGCTAAAGACAAAGAAAATGTATTTATCCCTGTGGTAATGCCACATGAAAGAGAAAAGTCTAACTCTTGGTGTCCTGATTTATTCTGAAGAGTTTTGTCTTCCTATTTTAATCTAAAAATAGTCTAAGAGAGTCCTGATTAGTCCTAATAGCCCTGACCAATTGGTATGTTCTTCCCTAGGAAAGAACGCCTGTCCCAATGCCAACTTTCCTTAGTTGCCTATATTTCTCTGTATAGGATTAAGGCCTCATGGGCTTTTCCCCCCTCTACATCTCCATTTGTGTCATACTTTTCCAGTTTACATTTGGACAATCATGTTGCTAAGACTATGGATTAGCATTTGATATTACTAGAAGACCCATCTCACTTCACAGCAATAGAAAAGTAATTGAGACACAACCTAAACAAAAAAAAATGGTATAAAAAAAAAAAAAACACTTCCTTTGGCAGTCAACAGCAACAAACCTAGCCAACAAACAATTTGCTTTTTGATTGGTAACATCAAAGCTAAGCCTCTAACCTTTTAATCTGTAAGAGGATGAACAGATGATATCTTCAAGGACCAACTACATGGTACTTTGATACAGCAGTGACCAATATATATATATGTTCTCTTAAGGCAACATCACCTAGCCCATAGGAAGAGGAGGGTGAGGAAAATACCTACACAGGACATGTGGAACATTTTAAAGTAGCTAGCTTAATATGTGTTATCAATAATTAGATGCCTAGGGAAATAGTAAGATCTGGAGAGGACAGGAACCACAAGGAGAGCAACAGAACCAAAAAACTGAGCACAGGGGTCTTTCCTGAGACTCATACTCTGACCAAGTACCATGCATGGAGATAACCTAGAACCTCTGCACAGATGTAGCCCATGGTAGTTCAGTGTCCATAGTAATGGGAACAGGGACTGTCTGACATGAACTAATTGATCACCTCCCCGTGAGGGGGGAGCAGCCTTACCAGGCCACAGAAGATGACAATGCAGCCACTCCTGATGAGATCTGATAGACTAGGATCAGAAGGAAGGAGAGAAAGACCTCCCCTATCAGCAGACTTGGGAAGGGGCATGCATGGAGAAGGAGGAGGGAAGGTAGGATTGGGAGGAGAGGAGGGAGGGTTTTATGGGGGATACAAAATGAATAAAGTGTAATAAATAAAAATTTGAAAAAAGCTAAAAACAATAATAAAATAAAATAAAATGACTATACTGAAATAATACCTAAAAGAACAGGGAGAGATGATGTGACCCTCCTTTCACATATTTTACCATCATTCTGCTTTCCACAAGAAAGCATGTTCACTTAAGTCAAGGCTAAAGAAACACCACGGAGTAACAAGTGATAGAAAATGCATTTGCATCAGTAAGGTGAAGTTCTTGCTGGCATCTGTTACTATTACAAACCTATAACATATATCACAGCACCTGCAAGAATGGAGACAGTCTAAATTTTCTCTCTCCAACACAACTTTTCAAAAAGAGGTCACAAACTGGTCTCAAAGGTAACTTTATTACTCCAGAATCAGAGATAAGAGTCATACTTTAAGGAAAATAAATGAAATGTTGCTTTATGGTTAATTATTTTTAAAAAATTAGATGCCTAGTAAAATAATGTACCCAAAACTAAATAAAGAAGTGATATGAGTTAATGTTCACATACATGTTTTCTCCCCTTAGATCAAATTTTTAAATAAAAGAGGTCTTTCTAATCTTGTAGAAAATTACTTTCCTGAATATATATATCATATCTAGCAAGAGTAGGAAGGGTGGGCCTTAGACCCACCTCCTTCATAACAACTCATCCAGCTGAGATACTAAGGTAAAACAACATCTGCAGTTCCTCACTGGTTGCTGATCTCATTACTATGGCTATCAACAAAGAAGAAATATCTTATTTTGATCAATAGCACAAACTAGTTTTGAAACTTGTAATAAACAAGCACTAAGTCATTTTTCTGGTGATTTGAGTATTTACAATAGCTTACTTATTTTTTCAAATGTAAAGATTCAAATCATAATATCACTTTAAAAATTCATGTGTATGGCCTGATTTAAACAAAAAATAAAAATGAAAGCATTCAATGTAAACACTGAGGTTACAAGCCAAGGCATGCAGGCCAAATGTCCTATTTCTCATTAGACAGAATATGATGCTGCCTAACAGAAGTAGTACAGTTTTGTGCCTTTGTAAACACCAAATGATTAATACTCATTAATCATTTTCTACAGTGGTGTAGCCACTGGAAACTTGCCTGTGCTTGATTAAAGAACCCCCAACCATTCTCACACATCTCTAAACAACTATGCAGCTCACAAACTAAAGCAGAAAACAATATAGAAATGTAAGACTAGGAAGGGAAATTGTTGGAAAGAAGACCAGATTCCATGGGAATAGAAAGGGGATACAAGGAGATACTAAAGGCTAAATAACTATAACATAATGTATTATATATGTATATATACATACATATATGCATATACATATATATATATATATATGCATCAAAACAAACTTTTTAAGAAGAATCCATTCAAATACTTGCTGAGTTGTCAAAGGCTAAATTTTTGTATATATTGTAATGAACTGCAATCTTCTAACTACATATGTAAACTGATTTGAGTGAGCTTTTTCCTAAATTCACAAAATGATCCTACACACAATTGTTCTCAGGGTAGAAATAAACAGCATTCACATGAAATAGTAAAGTTGAGGCCTATAAGCTTTATTTACCTTTATTTTCACTGACTCTGTGTAAACTTCATATACTGCAAAATATAGATTTAATAAGATCTAGTCCTCTGACAGTCTGGTTCTCCCAAAAGCCATAGGAAAGAAACACTATCAATTGTTTTGAAGATGTCCCTGTTTTAATGCCACAAGATGAATGCAATTGAATTCAATATAAACTGTTCATTGCAGAAGAAAATACACAGTATTCTTTCAAATGTAAAGATTCAAAACATAATATCACTTTAAAAATTCATGTTTATGGCATGATTTAAACAAAAAATAAACAAATACTGTGGAAAAGAGCTACAAACATAACCTCATACCTATGTTAAGACATATTTTAAAGTATGTTTTACACTATTATTAATGAAAAATTTAATTCTATGGTAAGATTTGATAATTTCTATTTACCACACTTTCTCCACCACTTCCTCCGTCTATAAACTGTTGTTTTCTAAACCACTAACTGAACTTTAATGAAAAATCCAACTCTATTTAACACACAGCCAAGAAAAAATGCTGCAGGAAACCCAAGTAGTAGATTTGAGAAAGCAGACAAGGATCTACAGCAAATATCCAGTCAAAGTAAACTGTCTTATAATAATCTCAAAATGGAAAACTTCAGTAAATTACAGTAGACACTCATTTACGAGAAGTATTTACCTTAGCAAACCTGAAAAAAATTACTGTAGTGACAGGCACACAGTGTGAATGATAAAACCAATGCTGCATATGTTCAACTAGAAGACACACTATATAAGCTTTGATTTTCAGATGAAACATACCAATTTAGCAACCTTTCCATAGTCAATCCATCTGACAGTAGCAAAATTTGTAGACTCAGCACAGTTGAAACCATGATTAAAACCAGCATGATATCCATAAGGAAAAGTGATCATAAACTCTCCAGCCTCCTGGGTGATCTGTAGGGTTTGAGAAGAAATAATGTTCAATAAGGCTTTCCAAATCATTTAATGATCAGTATACAATTCCACTTTCCTTTTTTAAAAATTAGGAAAAAAAATGTCATAATATCTCAACTATTTTAAAATAACAGGAATTCTGGGTGTTGAATTCCTGTTAAACTCAGTGGCTCAGTGGTTAAAAGTTCCTGACAACTTGAGTTCTATCTCTGGGACTCAAAAAGCAAATGAAGAATACGTGTTGTGAGCCATCACTGGAATTGAATGTGAACGCCTCATTTCCAGATACAATGCAGAAAAAGGGTAGCTCTTGCTATCCGTGTTCTGCATGTCTTCCTACCTAATATATTGTAACTTCTCTTTCCAGATAGTCTATATTACTGACGGTAGGCCTACTAACAACGATGTACATATATTTATGAATTTTAGAAATTACTACTAGGGAACACATAAAATATCTACAGTGATCTTCTAAAGGTGGCAAAAGAATAAATAAACAATGTAAAATGAAATCCAAAGAATAATAAATAGTCAGGACTAAGACTGTCAATCCTACAAAAGATAACAACTATTCATCAATGTGGTTTTTTTTTTTTACAACAAATAAGAAAATGAAGTAGGAATCTACCAAAATCTTAAAGAAAAATACAGAAAATTTCACCATACAGTTCTCACTTACATAAGATTCCCATAAAAGCATTTGAAATGAAGCCCAACTAATGTGTATGAAGTTACTGAAGAAGAAGAAATAATTCTCTTAACACTTCAGTTCTAAATATTGGAAAATGAATGAATGTGTAGAGATGTGTGGTTGATATCTAGCAGTCCTACTGTATAACTTATAGGAGTATATATTGTAATCAAACTGGGCTTATTATTGGTAATTATAAAATTTTCTGCAACTACTTTACTAGCCTAATTTAAGGAAAGCCAGATTACCACATCAAATAAACAACAAAATAAAAAAAGGAAGTTCATATGCCCAGATCAAATCCCAGAAAGGAAAAAAAAAAAAAAATAAAAATGAATGGCCAAAACAGCAGTCTCTTAACAAGCTCCTAAGACCTACAGAAACACCAGAGCAGAGAATTTAAAAGATCAATCATCTTAGAGCCTGTGCTGTTGGTGTTCTTCTGTTCAGAAAGTTATATCTTATGCCAATGAGTTGAACGCTTTTCCACATATTTTCCTCTAACAGGTTAAGTGTGTCTGGTTCTATGTTGAAGTCTTTGATCCACTTGGACTTCAGTTTTGTGCAGGGTGATACATATGGATTTATTTGCATTTTTCTACATGTAGACATCCAGTTAGACCAGCACAATTTGTTAAAGATGCTGTCTGTTTTCCATAGTATGGTTTTAGATTCTTTGTCAAAAATCAAGTATCCATAGGTATGTGGGTTTATTTCTGGCTCTTCTATTTGGTTCCATTGATCCACCATTCTGTTTCCATGCAAGTACCATGCAGTTTTTATTACTATCACTCTGTAGTACAACTTGAGATCAGGGATGGAGATACCTCCAGATGATCTAGTGTTGTACAGGATGGTTGTAGCAATTCTGGGTTTTTTGTTATTCCATATGAAAATGAGAATTTTTCTTTCCAGGTCTCTAAAGAATTGTGTTGGTATTTTGATGGGAATTACATTGAATCTCTAGATTGCTTTTGGCAAGATAGCCATTTTCATTATGTTAAGCCTACCAATCCATGAGCATGGGAGATCTTTCCATTTACTGATACCTACTTCAATTTCTTAGTTTTTTTTTTTTTTTTTTTTTTTTTTTAAACAGGTCTTTCACTTGCTTGGCTAGAGTCACAGCAAGGTACTTTATGTTATTAGTGGCTATTGTGCAGAGTGTTGTTTCCCTAATTTCTTTCTCAGCCTTTTTGTCTTTCATATACAGGAGGGCTACTGATTTTTTTGTTTTAATTTTTGTGTTAATCTAGCCACTTTGCTCAAGGTGTTTCTCAGCTGAAGGAGTTCTCTGGTTGAATTTTTGGGGCCGCTTATGTATACTATCATATCATCTAAAATTACTAATACTACTAATACTACGACTTCTTCCTTTCTGATTTGTTTCCCCTTGATCTACTTTAGTTGTCTTACTGCTCTAGCTAGGAATTCAAGTACTATGTTGAAGAGATACAGAGAGAGTGAGCAGCCTTGCCTTGTCCCTGATTTCAGTGGGATTCATTTAAGTTCCTCTCCATTTAGTTTGATGTTGGCTATAAGCTTGCTGTACATTGTCTTTACTATGTTTAGGTATGTGCCTTGTATCCCTAATCTCTCCAAGACATTAAACACAAATGGGCATTGGATTTTGTCAAATGCTTTTTCGGCAACTGAGGAGATGATCATGTGGCTTTTCTCCTTCACTTTGTTTATATGGTGGATTACACTGATGGATATCCATGTATTGAACCACCCCTGCATGCCTGGGATGAAGCCTACCTTGGTCATGGTGGATGGTATCTTTTCTGTGTTCTTAGATTTGGTTTACAAGTATTATTGCATCAATGTTCATAAGAGAGATAGGTCTAAAGTTCTCATTTTTGTTGGATCTTTGTGTGGTTTAGTATCAAGGTTACTGTGGCTTCACACACAGGCTCTAAATTCAACAATCAATAAACGGGACCTCATGAAACTGAAAAGCTTCTGTAAGGTAAAGGACTCTGTCATCAGAACAAAACGACAGCCTACACAATGGGAAAGGATCTTCACCAACTCTGTATTTGACAGAGAACTAATATCCAGAATATATAAGAATTCAAGAAGTTAAACAGCAACAAATCAAGTGTTCCAATTACAAAATGGGGTACAAAGCTAAACAGAGAATTCTCAGTAGAGAAATATCAAATGGCAGAGCAACACTTAAAGAAAGTTCAACAGCCATCAAGGAAATGCAAATCAAAACGACCCTGAGCTTTCACCTCACACCCATCAGAATGGCTAAGATCAAAACCTCAAGTGACAACACATGCTAGAGGGAATTGCTGGTGGGAATGTAAATTTGTACAACCACTTTGGAAATCAATCTGGCACTTTCTCAGACAATGGGCAATAGTGCTACCTCAAGATCCAGCTATACCACTCCTACACATATACCCAAGATATGCTCAAGTATACAAGGACATTTGCTCACTAATGATCTCAGCAGCTTTTTTCGTAATAGCCAGAACCTAGAAACAACCCAGATGTCCCTCAATTGAGGAATGGGTGCAGAAATTGTGGTACATTTACACAATGGAATACTACTCAGCAATTAAAAACAAGGAAATCATGAAATTTGCAGGAAAATGGTGGGAACTAGGAAAGATTATGCTGAGTGAGGTATCCCAGAAGCAGAAAGACACACATGGTGTATACTCACTTATAAGTAGATATTAGACATATAATATAGGATAAACATACTAAAATCTGTACACCTAAAGAAGCTAAACAAGAAGGAGGACCCTGGGTAAGATGATGAATCCTCACTCAGAAGGGCAAACAGGACGGACACCGGAAGAGGGAGAAAAGAAGGAACAGGACAGGAGCCTACCACTGAGAGCCTTTGAGAGACTCTACCCAGCAAGGTTTCAACGAAGATGCTGAGACTCATAGCCAAACTTTGGGCAGAGTGCAGGGAATCTTACGAAAGAAGGGGGAGATAGAAAGACCTGGAGGGGACAGGAGCTCCGCAAGGAGAACAACAAAACCAAAAAACCTGGGCCCAGGGATATTTAGGAGGACTGATATCCCAACCAAAGACCATGCATTGATATAACTTAGAACTCCTGCACAGATGTAGTCCATGGCAGCTCAGTCTCCAAGTGGGTTCCCTAGTAATGGGAACAGGGACTGTATCTGACATGAACTCAGTGGCTGGCTCTTTGATCACTTCCCCCTGATGGGTGAGCAGCCTTACCAGGATACAGAGGAAGACAATGTAACCAGTCCTGATGAGATCTGATAGGCTAGATTTAGAGGGAAGAGGAAGAGGATCTCCCCTATCAGTGGACTTGGAGAGGGGCATGGAAGGAAGTGATGGAGGGTGAAGGGTGGGATTGGAAGGGGAAGACAGACAGGGCTATAGCTGGGATACAAAGTGAATAAACTGTAATTCATAAATAAATTATAAAAAATAAAAATATCACTCATAAACAATCATAAATTTTATTTTAAAGTACATGGAATTTCACCATAACAAAAACAAATACTTCACTTAACTCCAAAGGATAAACAAAAAGACTGAGTTATATCCAATTCAAATACATACCCAAATAAAATAACAACAATAATTCAGGAATTGAAAACTTAATTCAATAAAAAGGTAGAAACACTGAAGAACACAAACTGAAATGAAGATGGAATTCAAACATTCAATATCTCGAGTAGAAAATTTACAATAGTAAGACACAAAGTAGAGGATACTGACCAATAAGTAGGTATGTAGGTAGGTTGATAGATAAACAGATAGATAGACAGACAGACAAAAAATTTAGAAAGGATAAGAACATACAGAAAATGTGGTACACCATTAAAATTCTAAATCCTCAAATTATAGGCATGAAAGAACAAGGAATGGGCAGAATTCAAAGCCTACTGGGGCTTTATAGCATTTTGGGAGTTTTTCTTCTGTTTAGTTTTTATTTTACAGGTAACTGTTGATTACAGGCAGAAGTCAGAGTGTTAGTCTCTTCTAAAGATGAGTCCTCTTTAGTAGACTAACTTCTTGGTTATCCATCATTACAACATGGTCAGCCTTAAAACCACATACATACAAACAACAAAAAATGGACTCAACCAGATATGTTGTATATTTAAGAAAAAGCAGATAATATTCAAAGAAAAAGAGGTTCTCAATTTAAGAATGGGAACAGATATAGGAAGGTAGAAGGAGGGCACCTGGCAGATCCTAGAGAAAAAAACCAAAGAGGAAAGGTGATGTAATTGTCTTCTAATTAAAAATATATAAAAATGACAGGAATTTTATGAAAAAATAAGAAAGTTACAATGG